ATAACAATAAATGAACAGGAATTAAGAAGACAGAAGATAATGATTGACATTGCATTTAAATTTTTGAAGATCAAAGTGAAAAGTAAGAAGCCAGAAGAGAGTTCCATGAGCAAGAAGTATGAGAGAAGACACTGTTAGATGTAACTAAATTCTATGTTAACAATTTCAACTGTAAAATAGCTGCCAATCTAGTACTGTGTTTAACTTTGTAAAGTTATGGTTGAAAAGAAAGCTTATCAGAGCAATAACCATAAAAATATTTATAGAAAAGTCATAGGAAAGCTACATTACAGCAGTGGGAAAGTGTCCTGCCTAAAATCAAGAACACTGTTCTCTTCCTAGGTAGAAGTGGTACTTTGATCCTGACCAGAATGTACAGATACTCTTGTTGAAATGCTGATAAATAATCCCATCTTTATTTTTTTTTTTTTACCTGTGAAAGTTGGGACTGGTGTAATTAAGGAGTATAGTTCATCTGAACACTTTCTGTGGAAATAGTAATAGAGCAGTGAAAGGCTACTGACGTCTCATCTGTAAGAAAGGGGTTGTAGGGTGGAAAATAATTCATCATCTACAATGGTGCAGAAATGTTTTGGGGGCTCTATCAAGACCAGAAAGGGAACATTGAGTAGCTCCTGCCGTATATTTGGCAGTAGTACTCCATTCTTGGCCTGATCTGGTTTTTGTAAAGGTAGAAGATAGCAAAAGTGGTACAGGGGACCAACCATTTTTTCCAGTATCTTTTGAATACATAAATGGCAAATTCTGTCTGTGTGTCTGAAACCCCTTCTAACACTTGCTCTACATAGACATATTCCTTTTTGGGATCAGGATGATCCCGGGATTGAAAACCTGCCCTTCATCTAGTGCTTGATCATCCTGAATTGAGATTTGTGTCTGGATGAGGAGGGAACAATTTATAATTTAAACCTGCCCTTCATCTAGTGCTTGATCATCCTGAATTAAGATTTGTGTCTGGATGAGGAGGGAACAATTTATAATTTAAGTTTTAAAATATCTGAAAAAAATTAGTGATTTTGAAAGTTTTATATTCAGTTTAAAGTAACACAAAAACTTTTTGAATTTAAAATTTTTTTGCTTAAAATATCTCCAAAACTTTGAATTGATGAAATCAATTTTATTTCTTCAAAATGCCAAGGAATCAGACTTAAAGTGAGACGTTTTGTGACATGAAGTTTTGCAGTTCCACAGAGTTTTTGATTTGAAGAACTCAATTTTTGGCCTGAATTGGTATTTCAGCCCAAATCAGAGTTAACGTGAGATTTTGAAGTTCCATGGAGTGAATTGAGGAATTCAAAGTTACTTCTTCAAAATACTATGGAAAAATCCAAAGACAAGAGCTCTAAGGATAAGGGAGAAGAAAAAGCAAACAGAAGAAACACTAGAGGAGGCAGAAGCTAGGAGACAAGCAAATGCTGCAAACCATGGAAGATCAAGAGCATCTGAAATGTCAGAAGAGGTACAAGCCAGGAGAGAAACAAATGTTGCAAGGAAGATAATGTCAAGAGCTGCAGATGACAATCATTTTATCAAGGAGAAAAACATGATGCAAACTATAGAAGAGCAAGATCTTTGGAAACGCTGATGAAAAACATGCCAGATGGGTTAGGGATAATCATGCGAAAAGGAGTTTGGCTGTTTTTCTGAGCCTGTACAAACTAGCTTTTCAAATACAACTGTGACAGTGATTGTTCAAATCATCCAAAGATATCTATTAGATCAATGATCATTGTAATGCTCTCAGATTCAAGGATGAGCCAGATGTGATGTGGTGTAACAAAGGAAAAATACAGCTGGAAGATCTACCAGTTCCTCTAGTCATTGCTATCTCTTCTGGATGGGAACTCAGCTGAATCAAAACACTTCATCCTGCATATCAGAAGCTATAAAAACTGTTTTGCAATGACCCCATTTAGTGCCAAAGATGCTACCTTACCAGGATGAAAAACAACTTGCAGAATTCAGAGCAGGAGATACCTTAAGACAGTGCTTTTAAGCTAGTTATTAATAAATGAAAAGTCAATATTACAATGCTGGCACTTAAAAGTGGGATTTGATTATTTAACTATTAACTTATGCTAATGTTTTACATGAAATTTGAACCAATTTCTACATTCAGTCAGTGCGTTAAAATAAGAAAGCGATTGTCATTGTCCAGGAAGCAGGAGTCAATGCAATCTTTCCTGTCAGAATAAGGATATTATTGTAATATAAACGGATTGTTAACTTTAAGATAGAAATCTATTGAAAATCAAGATAGGGATTTTCATTGGTCAAAATGTAGTGTTACTGGAAGGATGGTGATTAAATGTAAAAAGTAAGTATTGAAGCAATCACATTGGCAAGATTTAAATACATCAAAACTCTAATAATATATACGTCAAAATTCACACACACTCTCTCTCTCTATCTCTCTCATATATATATATATATATATATATATATATGCACATGTACACGCACAATTTAGTCAATATCAGTTTGTGAATATCTTAATATTCGTACTTAAGTAGAATCTGATTCTTTAACCAGTAAATTTTAAAAATGTTTGAATCATTTTCTGCATTCAGTCAGTGCATTGAAAATCAAAAAGAAACGGTTTGTTATTTGTCAGGAGTTAATGCAGACATTACTAACAGAATAAAGTTATAATTATTAAGTTATGTATTTCACTATCTTGTCCACAATTTCTAAAAAGGTGACATTCTTGTTTGAAATAAGATTTTCTAAAGCAAAACTTTATTGATCTAGCTTTACATCTTATAGCCAAATAGAAATCTTTTGTAATGTTGCATGACCCTTGATTTTGGAGTTTTAGTATGTTTAATTTTTTCTGGTTTCTATGTTCATAAGTGCTTTCTTCTTTTTATTCAAATATCTAAGCATTATGTTTCATGACATGACAGTGACAAAGACAACCTAGAATAACTTTTGTTTATTATTATAACTGTAATAAAGATGAGAAAGTCAAATATTTTAATCTTGCAGAAAATTAGAAACAACCATCTCTGTAATAGGAATCTGATAAGACCAACCATATATAAAATAAAACTCTAGACAAGAATAAATTGAGTGTCAATTCATCAACTGAAATGAGAGAGGATACTGTTGGATGAAGCTGTAATGTCTTAGTTTGTAATAAACTGATGATAAGAGGCTTATTGAGGAGTGGATGTATGAAAGAAAAGATAACATCTTCACTTTGAGAGACTTGAGGAGTTGCTTGTTTAGGCTTGTAAGTTGTTTGGTAGAGTTGTTCTCAGAATATTACCCTGTGAAGTATTTCCATCTATCATGTAATTTGCAAAAACAAGACTTTTTTTTTTTTTTCTATGAACTGTTGATAGACCATATTGTATGTATCTGTATATTAAGTTCCATAAATATTTAAATAACTTTGCTTTGTGTGTGAAAATCTTGCAAAGATAACCAGAGTCTTTTGCTTAAAAGATTTATATTGTATTTTCCATCTTTGATTTAGAGTTAAAAATCGCTTTGTTGTAATCATTTTTCTCTTAATTATTTTCTTCAAAATTGTATACCTCATTTAATTTTGATCCTTCTCCAATGATTGGTAAATCAATCACACCATAGTGCCTTCTATTGTATTACCTAAAGAATTTAATTAGATAGGTAGCCCTAACACTTGGTTCACACTCCTTCACTGTTTTTTAAATAGGAGTAGAGGTTTATTGCTTGTTTCCTGTTTAGGATTGGGTTTCCACTCTTTAAGTCTTATTCTCTTTCACTCCCACTAAATTCTTGTGTTTTAGTGGCATTATTATCTTGCTTGAAATGAAATGGTTAAAAAAAAATGTATTCTGCTTTTGCAGTTAGAGGGCATTGGGTGCATTTAATTTTAACTACATTCATTCTTCTATATGCTGTATCCTTCAGGACATTAGCAGTCATGGCTCTCCATAATTTCCTGTCTTTTGTAGCTCTTACTAAATTTTGTCTTTTTGCTATCTCTCCTAAACCCTGTTTTGCCAACCATTTACACAAGCATAATGAAAGTATATTATGTGCTGTTATCCTCTTGCCTTCAATATGTCCTGTGAGTATCAAATTTTCTAAGCCCTCTTTCCTCATTATGTGCTCTAGAAATTTCAAATGACTCTTTCTGATACATATGTGTCCTTTTTGTTTCCATTTTCTCTAAAACTTTGTCATTGCTCATATGTCTAATCTATGGTATTTTTAGCATCCTTCTGTAGAAACACATGTTGCTTCAAGTCCTTTCTTCATCTGTGAGGAGATTAACAGATCTATTATAATACTAGTCAAATTATTTGCATTTTCCTGTGTGTCTTCTTTTTTTATGGAAAATGATGATTGATTTTAAATCATTGTTATAATTTGTGGAGAAAACTGATGTATTTCAATATCACTCAATGATCTTGCTGATTTGACCTCCATCTTCTGGTTTTTGGATAGGAGTTGTTCCCTTGTTTAATTTAAATTAAAGGGGAAAAATTCAGTGATGGGGTTGTGCCCTCTGGAGGACTGACTCCCTTTGATCAAAATGAAATACACAATGTAGTTTCAGAATATATATGGTTATAGGGGTCTCTCTCCAAAACTCTAGGGGTTTGATAAAAAACAGACAGACAGAAGCTACAACTTTATATATGTATAGATTCTCATGTTTTAATAATTTTTGTCTTATAACCAAACAGATCTTTGTATGTCTTCTTTTTGTGTGTGTGTGTGTGTCTCTCTCTTCTTTCTTTTCTCTCTTTTTTTTTTTTTTTTTTACAGTGTCTGAACAAACATTAGCCAACAAGATACATAAACTTTGTACATTATTTATTTATTTGCATTTGTTTATTTATTCACTGTTTTGTGCTGGGAAGGATTTGGGGTTTCTTTCATGGGCCATAAAATAAAATATTTTATATAGCATTGCAACTACATTATAATTTACAACTAAAATCATGGCATATTCAATGAATTAATTTTCTTCATTTATTTTTCAGCTGATGATTTGAATAACCAACTTTCTCAGTGGTTATCAAAGGCTAAAGCTGTCCATTCTCCAGCCAGGGCTATTATTGCACCGTAAGTGATCCATTTTAGTTTTTTTTTTGTTTCATTTATTTATTTAGAATATATACATGTAATACAGGTTTTCTCTGCTTTTAGAGTATAAAAATTCTCTATTTCAAAGTATAAAATCTCTCATAAGCTAAAATAATATACAAGGCAATTACCATTAATTTATATAGAAATCATTTTTGAGCATTCCCCACCAAAATTATTTTCTTTTATATCTGCCACTTCTGATATCAAATTTTTGTTGTCTGTTGTGGCTTGATTTATTGTTTTTTTTTTTTTTTTTTTTTTTTTTTTTTTTAATAGATTATTATCCTTTCTAAGTTTATTTATAAAGCTGGGACATTTTTGGTTTGTAAGGAAATATATAAATATTTATATATAAAAAGAAAGAACAGTAAGATATATAATCCGCTTTTAGCTTCCATTTTTGAAACCTGGTTAGAACTGTGTAGCGAAAAAACATTTTAAATCAGTTTATATATATATATATATTTTTAATAATTTTCTGATACTAGTCTTACTATTTAATCCATAACTGGATGGAGAAAATTTGGGTTCATATCTTTCCCAAAGGTATTTGCACATAAGTGAATATAATGCGCCTGACTGGAGTTCAAACCCACTTCTCTGATTTCTCATTCTAAGCTGTTATCCATTACACCAAACACAAATCCAATCTTACAACACCTGATATTCTCAAGCAGTCACCCATATACATAGTAACCAGGCTCAATGTTGTTTAACTTTGGTGATCAGATAAGAACTGGTGTTTGAATGTGATATGACCGTAAGTTGGCTGATGTGGAAATCTTTATTTTGCCACAATTAAAATACTTGAATACAAGCAAATTTATGCTAATTATTGACACACAAGCTCTTAGAACATGTCTTGCTAAGAGGTGCACAAAATAAATAGATAAAGCATGGCTGCTCACATAGTTCAAACCTCTGGTGTTGTGTATAATTATTGGTAACAGGATTGGTAATTTCACTTTTGCTGCTTACAGTGGACACACTGCCTCAAAATTAGCTCACTGAAAGACAAATGCTAAATGCATTTCAGATTTATTACAGTTAGTAAAAATGGGTACTTTTTTTTTTTTTTTTTTTTTAAGTGAATTTTTGAAAAAATGGGATACCTGGAAATAATTTATTATCTCAGGATCACCCATTCTGGTTACAATTAATCCTGAATACAACTTTTCTTTCCCCTATTTTGGGCACATTGGCTATACTAGTGATTCTAAAATAGGAGGCACTTGGCTCCCAGAAAAGAATTTCTGATCAAAGAAGCAGAATTTTGGCCAGTGAAAAGGTCTTTTCAGTTGTGTGTGTGTGTGTGTGTATGTATGTATGTATATATATATATATATATATATATATATATATATATATATATATATATATAGTAAGTATAATATTGAAATTACTAGGAGGAAAATTGGGATTGCAAGAGCATAAATGTGATCTAGAACTACTTTTTTTTTCCCTCATAAAGAATCTAAGACATAGAAGAAAGTGAGGATAAGGAGGATAGATAGCAATTGACCCTTGAATTAAAGATTGTAGTGTTCAGCAGAGAATCCGCATGTGAGTTTGTTCCACAAAGTAGCAGTTCAGGTAAAAGCTGTCTGGGTGGAAATTCCTCTTTTAATTAGAGTACAGAAGAAATGCGAGTTATGCAACTCCATGGAGATAGCATGGAGAGCCTTAGCTATAAAGGTCTGAACCAGTGGAAGCTCCTGAAAATTTGCGATGAAAATAGCAACTGAACTATACATAAAAGTACACCAACATGACTATTTTGACAATCTTGGACTGTCAGGCCTGAAAAAAAAATGAAGTGTCAAAAGAACGTGTCCTCTCCCCACCCCACTTGACACTCATATTATTTTAACTACTTTCATTTGTTAGCAATGTTTGTTTCAAAAAAGCAATTAGAATTTTAGTAAATCCTAAAAATATGAAAGTTAGTTTAGACCTTTTCTTTGTTCTTGAGAATTGGCAACAAAAATAGTAAATACTATTTGTTTATTAGATTGTTTATTTATAGTACCATTTATTTATTAAATTGTTTATTGGAACGGTTGGTAAAATATTGGATAATTTCTAATTGATTCAAACATTATAAAATTGTAAGGTTTGTTTATAGTTGATTCGCATATTTTAATAATTTATTCAATGTTTATAAATTTATGAATAAAAAATTGTTTTCATATTTATTTCTTTATAAATTGGTAAATAATAAATATTGCATTGCATTAGTTCTAATATAATTTTATACATTTTTAGAATGTTGTAAACATCAAATTATTTTTGTAAATAAACAATCTAATAAATAGTGCTTAATATCTTTGTTGTAAATTTTCAAGAACAAAAAAATGTATAAATTCAATTTCATCATATCTAATTGATTTTTTTTTTTTTTTTTATGGGCACATGACTGAGTGGTTAGAACGTTCACATTCTGGCCATGAGGCCCAGGTTCGAATCTCACCATGGTCAATTTGTCAAGAAGGAGACTTCTTGATGTTATCAGACTGGAGAGGTTGATCCCAGCATGTGGCACCTTTAGAAAGTGCCTGAAAATCATACTACAGGTTGACCCAAACCTTGTGAGTAAAATTGGGTAAATGGAACCCTTGGGGGGGCCATTGATAGCTGTGTGAGCATGAATTAACAAGTCATCATGGCCAAGGGCTTGATTGTTCTAGCCTTGTTCAAAATTGTTGATCACACTAGATAACATGCTCTTTCCCAGAGACTGTAACTAAGGTCCGCTTAGCATAGTTGCAGTATAAACCACTAAGAGGTGGGCTATGTGGGTGTTGAATAAGCACAAATATGCCTGAGCAAGCGTCTGCAATAGGGATTGGCTAGCCACCCTAGTAGATTGGTATCCTCGAATACAAGTGGCCAGCTATACAGAATTGATATTTTTTTTTAAAACAATAGAAATTGTCAAGAAGTGAAGTTACTTAAAATAATAGCTGTGTCAATGGAAAAACTGTCCTTTTGGCAATCCATTTTTTGCCATTATTTTAATAATTTCTATCTGACAGGCTCAAATCTTTTCTTTATGTATTTGTTGCAGTCAACATAACTTTTGTAATATTCATTGACATACCCAACAATGTTAAGCTGTTCAAAATCTCTTCTTTGTAAATTTACTGTTCTTAACATTATAATAATGTGAAGAGTCATTAACATGTCCAGCATTGTTCAGATACTCAAATCTTGGTTTTGAATATTTGCTGTTGTCAACACAGTTTTAACCGGTCCATTCTTCAACTCTTATCAGATGTAATCTCAGAGAACAAAGGAAAGTTAAGAAAAACCACACTAGCAGCAACAGAAATTCAACACAGTGGTTTTCTTTGTTGAATAAAATCAGTGTTTCAGAAATTCTTTCATGCTGTTTTGATTTCTATTCACCTGGCTATCTGGTGTAGCAGACACTTTCAGAAATGGACCAGTTAACAAAAAAGCAATATTGGGTATGTGTGTCATCATATAATTATTTGAATGTGGTGTCTGGACATAGAAATTTGGATGGGAGTGTTTTCAAATATTATGTTACATTGAAGATTTTTGTTTTGGGATTATTTGCTAGTGTCTTTCAGTAACAGCCAAATTTAAGATTTTCTGCCTTATTTATTACATATAACAAAAGAGGAATAATTTGAATTAGTTATTTTTATGATGTATTAAATAAATGTTTATTTTGGCAAAGTATTATTATTTGGTATCCCAACACTCAGCTTACAGCCAATGAAATTCTTAACTAAACACTAAAAAAGGTATATATTCAACTCGCCAGGTTATTTCATTCAATATCTCCATAAAAACATAATGCATGCCAAATAAAAGCTTATTTCATGAACTTTGTTTCTATCTTATTTATTTTTATATGTACTACAGTGTGCGAGGAACATTACAGTTTGAAAATAGACATTTTGGTGATTTCACAAAATTTTGGCCATTTTTTCACTGATGGCAGTTTAGACTTCCTCAAATTTTGTAACATGCACACTCCACAGCCTGCTCTTTGCAAACAAAGAGATTGTTTGCTTGGACTTGCTGTTCTGCGATTCTAGCAGCTTGATTGGTATAATTTTAATATACATATATATATATTTTTTTTTTTTTTTTTCCTTCCCTGTCCATTCATTCATGTCACCCATGACAGACTTTTTTCTTTTCTTTTCCTCATAATCTAAATTCCTGCTAACAGTTCTGACGAGAGGGGACGAAACCGGTCGACTGTGTGTGTTTTATTTTAAACTTATCATGGCCTACAATACTACATTTCTAGTTTTAATGCCTTAATACGCTTTTGTACCGTTACAAACCTATTTAAATATTTTAAGAAAAGGTACTCCCTGAGTCAATTAGAAAAATGAATAAATTGTTACAGATTAGGTCTAATTGAAACATTGAGGGTTAAGACTAATTTTTTACATTCTTGTCTTCAGCACCAGGTTTGCCCGTCTTTTTATTTCCTTTCGGATTAGGAGGGCTGTTGGTGTCTGGTTGGAGTATAGAGAGAGCCTTTATTAAGGATTTTCTCTTACAATTTTCTAACCTGGATTTGGGCCTACAAAGAAGATATCATCTGTTATGGCGTGAGGCAGGTAATCATTTATCCTATTTTGATAGAATCCGCTTTGCCCGTTACGTTGGTTTGATATCTGCACGTTGTCGTTCTAAGATGGCTAGCAGTTTTCAGAATAAGTTAAAACAACTTATCTCCAAGAGATTTGGCTGTATGGTTGAACCAAAAATGTAGTGAATTTGTCTTCTTATTCTCCCTCAGATATTGAGCTTGCTATCTTGGCCCACGGCCTAGATTTTAGCATTCCTTTCACTTGTATTAGTAGGGAGAATATTTTTTCTGAATTTGAAGTATTGTATGCTCAACTTTCGAAACTTCAACCGGTGTCTGAGAATAAATCCAGTGACTTTCGAGCTAAATTGAATGATTTGGCTCATTCTTATGCTAGTTCTCCTATTTCTTTCTCTGAATCGAAATGGAGAAGTGAACACCATAAGGTTATTAGATCCCTTAAGAATAACCATTCTTTGGTTATTACTAAACCGGATAAGGGATCTGGTGTTGTCCTCATGGACCGCCATGATTACATTAACAAAATGTTAAGTATATTGAATGACCCTTCCAAGTTTCAACGTCTTGGTTCCATTGATACTCATGATTCTACATTGACTTCTGAAATTCGATTTCAGAAACGTCTTGTCAAATGGGTAAAAAGTGGTGTTCTTTCTTCTAAAATGGCGGAGGAATTGAGACCGTCTGGTTCTATTCGTCCCCGTCTATATGGATTACCTAAGATTCATAAGGAGGGTGTCCCGTTGAGACCCATATTATCGATGATTGGGTCTTCACAGCATAAAGTTGCAAAGTGGCTTGCTATAATGTTGCAACCAGTATTGCAACATTACAGTTCCTTTTGTATTAAAGATTCATTTTCTTTTTCCAAATTCATTCGGAATTGTGATGCCACTAATGGATTTATGTGTTCCTTTGACATCTGTAGCCTCTCCACTTGTGTTCCTTTATCGGAGACTATTGATATTTGCAGCGATATGTTAAATCGTAGCGATTTGACTCCTCCGAATATACCCGAAGAAGTGTTCGTTGAACTCATGAAATTTTCCACCATGTTTGTCGATTTTAGTTTCGACAATATCATGTATCGTCAGATTGATGGGGTAGCGATGGGTTCCCCTTTGGGTCCTGTGTTGGCAAATATTTTTGTGGGGTTTTATGAA